TGCCCCTAGGTGTGTATGAGCATGTGAATGTGTGGGTTTGTGTGTGACACCCTGTGATGGACTGGCATACCACCCAGGGTGTATATTCCTGTCTTATTCACAGTGTTCCTGGTATAAACTTTGGATCCACAGCAAAAAGCAGCTAAAGCAGTTAGTGAAGAGAGATAAACAAATATTTGAACATACTGACTCATCCCTAGATAAGAAGATAGCTCTTAACCTTCAGTAACAACGCAGAATTAGAGTTTGCTCTGCTTTTGTAAATTTGATATGTTTGTTCTTTGAAACATAGGCTACCCTCTTTTTAACCCTGTAGCATATCTCAAAGCTGTACTGCACCTGGAAATATTTGTTTGTAGTTTTATAATCTATACTAGTATACCCTAATGTCTAACTCTGTGTCGTTGTTACAGGGAACGTCACAGGAGTACATTCTTACCATTCGCAATAACATTGTACAACAGCTCACCTGTGTGTGACAGATAACACTTTCACATTACACTACTACAAGAAAGCTATCATTTAGAAAGCTGTCATTATATTCTACATTCTCAAGGTTCTTCATATTCATTATTCACTGCTAGTTTCACAAGTGTACTTATGTAAATACTGATGTAAATCTGGTTAAATCTGCAACTATGTTCCATATCTGCACTACTACATTTAATTTAACTTATTGTATTTTATATTTCATATTTTGTGTGTGTACGTGTTGTATCTTGCTACTGACCATGCTGCTGTAACACAAGAATTTCCCTCATGGGATCAATAAAGTCTATCTATCTATCTATCTATCTATCTATCTATTTCACATTTTCTCATTATGCTATACTGTCATACTGATATGTGATCACACACCTAGTTCATAAAGATGATAAACTCAAATTACTAAAAGCAAATTACTCAGTGGGTGTCTCATGTGCAAATCACCTCCGCTTACCATGCAGCTCTTCTGCAACTCCTGCATGCTCTAAACTAGAGGAGGAAGAATTCTCCTTTGAATAATCTCCAATGGAAGACATACTGTCATTTTCATCAAAGTCTTCTGAATATTCGGAGTCAGTCCCAGTATGTGTCACCTCGTCCTCTACAATAACAGGTGCTTGACCATGTTCTTCCATATTCCCAGCTTCATGCAGTTCAGGCACTTCAATACGAACAGTGTCGTTGCAGGTCAATGTGACATCTTCACTCTCAGCAGCTATGGGATCAGCATTAACCTTTGTCAATTCTGTCTCCTGATGCTGAATAAACAGTTCCAGATGTTCCTGCACATAGGACATGGCCAGGATGCAGCTAGCACTCGGTCTGTTCTCAGGAAGCAAGCACAGCATCTTCTCGATCAGTGTGTGAAGGTTATCCGAGTAGATAGCAGGCACTCGGCTGTATTCGCCCTTTATAATCTTATAAAACAAACTCAGTAGATTCTTAGCAATAAAAGCTGGTTTAAGTGCACAAAGCTCATACAGTAAGCAGCCAAGGGCCCATATGTCAGATTTGGTGCTGTATGGAACGTCCTGGCACAGCTCAGGGCTGAGGTAGCTGGGTGTCCCTACGCACGTTGAGGCCATGTCCAGTGTGTGGTTCATGATCTTTGATATTCCAAAATCTCCCAACTTAATCATCCCCCTCTTTGTTAGCAGTACATTGGAGGGCTTAATATCTCTGTGCAGAATTCTTACTGAATGAATATAACTGACCGCCATGACAATCTGCACAAACCATTTCATAACTATAGGCTCTGAGAAATATTCTTCTGCCTTTCTGCCTTTAATCTGGTCATCCAGCGTCCCACCATCACAGTAATCCATAGCAATGTAGATGTGCTCTTTTGTTGGATCAAAGAAAGTGTTGCTCCACGTCACAATATGGGGGTGTCTCAGATTCCTCAGAATTTCAGCTTCTTGCAGTACGTTGTCTTTGGACTTTGTTTTTCGAGAGTTATCAACTTCTATTTTCTTCACAGCATAGAGCTTCTTTGTTTCTTTGTGTCTCATCAGCAAGACAACACCCGCTCCTCCTCTGCCAAGTTCAAGAATTTGCTCATATGCTTCCATGTCTTTATCCATACCTAATAAGGTCTATTTTTCCAGCTAAGTTCATTAACCCACTGTCCTCTGTATGTCTATTCTGTCAGGCAGTCTGATTAATCTGATCACCTAAATCTGTTTAATAATAATAATGCTTTTGTAGCCATGAGTCACTCACTTTCAAAACCTGTTACTAAGAGAGCTTAACATCTGTACACCTTTGTTAAAAAAAAACAAACAAAAAAAAAACATTTTTTTAGTTACAGTTAGTTATGCTACAGTGCTACAGATACAGTTCAGTACAGCTAGCAGTTCTATCAATCCTAGCATTGTACTATCCTGTTCGTGGTGTGACTATCCTTTACTATTGAAAACATATTCAAGTTGCTTTTATTCATAAATAACTCTCTTATAATACAACTAGATCGAGCTGAATGTAATTTAGCGTCGCGTTTCTAACTACCTTCTAACATAACTAGCTTAAACCATTACTGAAGTCACCTCCATCAGCGGTTTGTTGTGGGTTTTCCGAACCATTTCCATGGCAACAGCGCGTGTGCTAACAAGCCGGTTTTTCATTGGTCCACAGAGAGGACACTGCAGTGACATCAGAAACAGCCCACTACTGCTATGTCACAGTTTAATGAGTCAGAGCAATCGACTCAGCTCAACAATGAGAGTCGACTCTTTCGACAACCAAACGGTTCATTTCCGATTTCTCCACAGCTGGCTAAAGTTGTTGGTCTTTGCCTCATTATCACATAATTCATTACTCTTACTCAGCATTCTGATTAACAGCATGAGCATTGCCTTTGTTAAAATCTATTTAAATAAATAGATTAACAGAAGCATTAACTTTCATTAAATTGCATTTTGAAAAAGATCCCTGTCCATTTAATCTTCTAATCGTTCATTTCACAAATATATCATTTAATACATATATTATTATAACAAAACAAAAAGCATTTGGACCCTCGTGCTGACTCACATGAACAACAACAAACTCGCTAGAACCGACTCCAGAGAATCATTATTTTGTGTCAAATGACTCACTAGATAAATTTCAAATTGTGATTGCAAAATACTGCTGGGTTTTCAGCAAAAGGGTTTATGCGAGTTGGCTCCCAACATTCACCTAAAAGAGCCGAGTCAAAGAGTCGACTCTTGGTGAACGACACACCACTAGTGCCAAATAATAGTCCTGCTCCTATGTTAGTACAGT